GAAGGAAGACCCAGCTTCTGCAGTATATGCAGAGCAAGCATACAAAAGTGATACAAGTGATACAAAAACTGCAATTTCTTAAAATTAATGAAAAAACTAATAAAAATGCAAAGGGCCTCATGTCACAAACATGTTTTATGAGGAATACCTCAAATATGAAAATATTACAACTCTTTGTTTTAAAGATTTTGAAGAATAACAACCGAGTTTATAGCAAAATGCATTGTTTCTATTTGGGGTCATTTTTGAGCCCACTCGTGGAAGAGTGTAGGTATTGTTAGGTTGTGCATCCAAGGGTTAAATTGGTGGCCTTTTAAATTCCTGACCACAGAAAAAACTGCTAAAGTTTGTCTGCAGTCCCTGTAATATTAGACCAATAGTCCCCAACCATTTTTTGCGCCACGGACCGGTTTATGTCCAACAATATTTTCGTGGACCGGCCTTTAAGGTGTCGTGGATAAATACAACAAAATAAAACGAGCACCGCTACCCAAAAAAAAAAAAAAAGAGATTTAATAATAACACACAGGGAAACTGAGTTAACAATAAAAACCAATAAAAACCCTGAAAACCATAAATTTGACACCCAAGCCTCCAGTCTCACGGCCCGGTACCAAACAACTCACGGTGTTATGACATGCATAGGTTCTTTCTCTTCAGCACCCTCTGCTGGTCATAATGGGAATACTCACCAGCTTTTATTTTGGTGGGGTTTTTCTGTGTTCCTGTGGGTAGAGGAAACAGGAAGCTGGTCGCTTGTTAGCCTGCAGAATATGTTGTTGCTCTTTAAAACGTTTCTGCCTTGGAGAGTTATTGCTTGTGAGTATTAATGTACAACATGTTTACAAGTTTATTTGGCGCATTTCTATTACATAGATTTGTTTAGAAACCAGTTATTTCATCTGCTATGTTTATCTTTGAGGAAGCTAAACTCGCTAAGTTGTATTGTGATCAATACTGAGTCGCTGTTGATTACACATACTATATAACAGTATAGTTCATATCCTAGAAGTGTGTGTAAAAAGGAAAAGACATCTTGTGACATTTACTTTGTGTTTGTTTTTAGTTTTACGGGAAGAAAAGGATGTCAATCATTGAACTACTGACGAAGTAAAAAGCCTTAAACTTACTTCCGCCTCCAATGTTCATTGAAACCGTTAGCTGTCTGTCAAGTTGGGCAAAGGGACGCACAATAAGGACAGAACACACGGACTGGTACCGGTCCGCAGCCCGGGGGTTGGGGACCGCTGTATTTACATTTCTGCTATGGAATAACAAAAAAAAAATCTCCAATATGATGTATATGTGCAGTGAGTGAACTCTAATTTATACTTTTTTGGGGGGGTTTTGTTTGTTTTTTTAAAAGAAAACTATCTGATGAAAGAGCCACAGAAGATATGAAATCATAAGGCATAATTAAGCATGATAAGCCCGAGAAGAGTTTAGCTCCTTGTTTAATTTTGATGGAAGTGTATAAAGTCATTCACACAGCTACGTGTTTACCTATATCAGTCCATTATCTCATTCAGAAGATGTACCATGACCACACACACACACACACAGACTAGTTTTGAGTGCGTATCGCTTCCCATGTTGGTTTACACATGCATGGATACATGAGGTAAACGAGCCAAAACCACGTCCTCAGGACAGACGTGGTTAGCAAGAGAAGTGATGTGTTGAGTGATAAAATCTGCAGATGGGGCCCCAGGCAATTATAGTTCATCAACATGACAACTCAGCTCCCACTCATCATGCCACATTAATACACACACACATACACACATGGAATATTTACTCAGAAACAACATTTCCATAACCAGTCCTGACTAATAGGTCTGAGAGGTTGGCCTTTTAAAAATACACAAGTAGGTCTAATTTAAAAAAAAAAAAGTGGCACGTACACAGAATCTCGGTTGTTATCTGTAATGTTCTCAAATTATAGAAGACATAGTTACATGTAATTTAAGTAAGGGTAACTGGTACCAGGTAGATTTTTGCACTTTAACAAATAAATACAAAAAAACATCATTGAAACTCAATGACTTCCATACATTTAACATAAACTTTTATCCTTTCCATAACCAGGTCAGGTTTATACATAAACAACACTAAATATTTACCACAGAACTGTCATGTGACTAAATGGTCTCATATTAGAAACAATAACTTAAAAATAATCATGTCATTCTTGCAAATGAATGTTTTGCAATTAAATTTAAGTGACTTGTGGATTTTAAAAAAAGCTTGTTAATTAACATAAAAACCACTTAAACCTTCAGTTATTAGAAGATGAAGACAGACATTTTTGTCACATTAAATACTAAAACAGGCTAAGAAAGTCCACTTCTTGTTTTTCTGCATTAAAGTATCACAGCAGCACACAGACAAACACTTTGCTGCTTTTCTAAATCAGGCGTCAGGGCCTGCAGCTGGTGTTGTGCCCTGTGCAGGTTAAAAGGGAAAGGTCATCTCTTTTGACCGCTAAATGTACCTTCAACACCTTGTATCGAACAATCACAGCATCAGGCACAGAGCTCAAAGGTCACAGTCCCAGGAGCTTTAGCCCATTGAGTGAGGGGTTGCATCGGCACGGTGAAACTGCGCACGAGCCAATCAAGACACACTCAGCAGCATAGAGTAATTTAATCAAATGTATGTACACCTCATTTTACACACCAGAAAACCTCCAGGCTTTTTGTACCCCCAAATGAAATTCAGGGATGATGGATTGAGTGAGGGATTTGTTCACGCCTTTTAGCACTTACACCGATGGCTATAAACAATTTTGATATGGGAAGAAAACCTAACCAACCATCACATGACCACGGATTGGAGTTTGTAAGAAAATTAAAGGAGTGAAGAGTGATGACTGGATCCATAATGCAGTTAAGTTTAAACTATTTAAATTAGGGATTTTGAAACCAGGCTTTACTCGTTACTGTCTATCTTTTATGCTTTCCAATTTCAGTGTAAAGATGGAGGTAATGTATGTGACTACTTATATGTGCTATTCGTTTCTGCTAAACGACTATATAATAACCTTTGAGAATCACAGTCTGGCATCATTTACTTCACGCACAATTTACTATAAACTGTTACCAATATGTCTTACAGTCACCACTGGGTTAACTTCCTCACTCTGGACTCCAGGGAGCAGTTGGTTCCATGAAGTAGGTCCTTCATCTGCCACAGATCGCCTATGGTCATGTTATAGATGGCTAGAGTGGAAAGAACGGATGGAGGGAAGATGGGAGATATCAAAAGGGGGGACAGAGGGGTGGGTCAGGACGAAAGAGCGATGGGGTGACAGAGGATTGAGACGATGAGGGCAGAGCAGGGTCACGATTCCATGACTGCTGGAGCCCTTCGGATCTGAGAAGCATGGCACACGGCATCACTAATGAAATCTGTGCCTTCACTCGTCTGGCAGCGAAAACCGGGAGGGGCTGGATGAGTCAAAGGAGCTGGAGAGAGAGCGTGATTAAAGTGGAAAGAACACAAGGAAAAACAGGTGTGTGGGGTGGAAATAAGAAAAAGTAATAAAGAGCTGAGGTAGAATGATAAAAGAAAAAAATTAGGAGAGAAAGAATGAATGACGGAGGAAAGAAGATGAGGAAGAAATAGAGGAAGCCTCATCTCCATACACTGTGATAGCAGGCAGATTTGAATTTAGGGCCCGTCGTTCATGGAGCCCCTATAAATAGGGACGAGGAGCAAACACCGAGCAATTTTGTCGCAATTCCAAACACAATGCCTGATTGAGGGCAAATTAAAATGCAAATGCAATACTTCCATTTTTTCCAGATTTCGCCCACGAGATAAGCGAAGGGCCGCTGTTCCTTTCATAAAGTGTAGAGGTGTGTGCGAGTTTGTGTGTCAGTGTGCGTTTATTCACAAACGTGTGTATGTGTTTGTTTGTCAAGTTTGAAATGAGAGGAGACAGGAGGGAGACTGGAGGTGAGGTTGTATAAACAGATTAGATTCAGTATTGTCCTCTCCGAGCTGCATTTCAATCGTCACCGTCTTTTCCTTTCCTTCTGTCCTTGTCCACCAGCAGTTTCAATAGACCTTTAACAAGCTTCACTCGAATTAACAACGTAAAAGAACACAGTGCCATTAGTTTAATAAATCATAAAATAATTTAAAAAACTTGGAACTGTTTATTTGACAAAATGAAAAAAGTCCACTGCTCCTTATACCTAAATATTTGGATTACAGTGAGGATATTAGAGGATTATGAGGCATTTTACAAGCTGGCATAAAACAGCTTTTATGAGCAAAGTGTTTAATGCTTGACAGAGCCTGGTTCACCCCCTTAATTGTTGCAAAGCCATCACTTCACCATATGTATTCGAATCTTTCCAAGTCACGGGGTACAAACATATTCAACTGCTGTGGTCACATGGTCTCACTGAGCAGAAGGTTCGTAGTACAAGCCAAGTGGAGGGCAAATGTTGATGGTAAAGTGCCGCCCAGTAACCAACGGTTACACTGTAGATCGAGGTTGAGCCGTGTACTGTTTACCAGACAGATACAGTAGGGTGTTTTAACCATGCAGAAAGAGGGAAGAAAAAAAATGAGATCAGACCCAATGACAATTTAAAACAGAAAGTGACAGGCAGGCAGGGAGAAAGAAAGAAGAAAGGAAAGGATACAGGCTAAACCAAACAGCTTTTGCTTTAAGCTACTCTTTAACTAACTGAGCTGAATTTTTCATCAGCCTCTATTCTCAGGGGGTGGCCGACTAAAAGCAAGCTTTCGCTGCGTCCTCTCACTGCGTACGTGTCCCTGAGTGTGTATGTTTGTAGGACAAGAACGACTGTCAACGCAGTAAGTCACATAAGTCTGTCACATGCGGACTGTGAATGAGGACATGTGATTTTTTTTTAAACATAGCTTTGCAAACTTCGAGAAAAATTGAATAGAAAAGTGTCAGTTTACAAGGACATGCTAATATATTCACTATTAACTTTGTGCTGTTGGGCACTTTCTAAGCTCTTAGTTATTTTTCCATCCCCAAGGAGGCCTGGTGAGAAATGAAAGGAATGACAGACCAAGGAAAAAAAAGAATTTTAAAAAGGGATTGCAGACAACAAAGAAGAGAGCTGACATCTACGAGAAAGATCAGCGCCGCACTCTAGATAGCGGAATGACTGGAAACGTTGTTTATTCTAATATTACTGCAGGATTGTGTTTAATTATTTTTATATTACTTGTCAATAGCCAGTGCTTACACTTAAACTTACACAGATGAGCTCAGATGAATAAATGTCAATGAAGCACTGATCAGACTGAGTGAGAAGTGAGTTCTCAGCTTGGGAGAAAAAAATACTTCCTAACATCCTGAGACACCTTGTACGTGTAATGTGGCCATTTTTGTCCGCAACTGATCCCGAGACTGATGATCGAAGAAAAGTCCTCTTAGTCATCTTGGCTCGATAAAGGACAGTTTGTTAATTAACCCAAGTCTTGTGTGATGCAGTGTGAGTCAGACGTCTGAGCGATGCCACCACTCTGCTTCATCATCAACATCCCCAAAAGTTGGAAAAAGAAAAAAAGAATTCACACGCTTCAACTGCATGATATTAGAGTAGACCTTTTGTGCTCATTTCAAACTCCATATTTTTTTCATAAAAGTGGGCTCCACTAGAGTGGCTTTGCATGATTCATAGTTCAGTAATCCTTATTTATCTTATTGGGCCTTTGTGCAGCCTGTCACTTTATGAACTGGTGGAAAATGCCCATTTTAACTCTCTCTCCTCTGACTTTAAGCCAACTTTCTTTCCAACTTTCTTCTGAGTGGCTGCCTCTCGCAAGCAGAAGGTTTAAACAGCAGGTGGGTGGGGGTTGCTGTTGTTCACAGCCAGACATTAAGGATATAAACTCTCACTGGCATCATACATAACCAAGAGTAGGGGAAAAAAAGAACACTGTCTGAAATGATTTTAAACAGCTTTTTGGCTCACAGGGTTCACTGTTAGTATTCACACGAACCACCGTAAGAATATATTACAAGAATCAAGAAAAGTATATTTGATTCATTTGATTAAATACACTAAAAAAAAAAACAAATGGAGGCCAAATGTTGCCAAATTAATGATAATAATATTGATTATAATAACTTTTGGCTTCCTGGTGAGTTATCAAATGCTAGTACTGATAGTCTGTGTACAGCACACAGCACAGAAAACAATTACATTTCA